GGGGCTTGCGACGGCGGGGCGCTGCAAAGGGGGGGATTTCGATTGCGGGGGTTGCGGAAGCGTCGATGGCGGCGGTCAGAAGCGTCGCCGGCGGCGGTGTGGAAGCGTTGCCGGCGGCGTTGCGGAAGTTTTGGTGTTGGACGGGGTAGATGGCGCTGCCAGTGGGGGAACATGGTAGAGAGGATGAGGGGTATAATGGGAAAGTCAAAGCAATTTTCATTTCACATAAATTTGCGCACCAAGTCAAAGCGGGAAGTTCTTTTTTGGACGGAGGGAGTATTTTGATCATTTATATAAGGTATCTATTTGTATTTATCTATAGATTATAAAAAACTTATATTTCAAAATTATGTAAATGAATATAATTAATCTATTTATATTAAAATTAGTTTACAATTCAATATGTTTTTATTATTATAAATCATGGTCAAAGTTAAAAAAATTGACCATAAAAATTAAAACAAGAAAAAAGATATTAATTATATGGAGGGAGTATTAGTTTTGGAGCTCCCTTAACATAACGGATATCATGGCAATAAGCACTAGCTTCTCAAAGATAATAAATCTCACCGATAATTATTGTTTGTGCAAAAAATAACATCATAATATGAATATTGTTATCAAATTTGTTATCATAGTAGCTGATGGTGTAAATTATTTAACCGGGTAAACTATACTAGACCGGGTCTAGAATAGTTCACTTGATTCGATGAAGTAAAAAAGCAAAAACACGCAAAGTGACCGGTAGGACTGTAGGTGGAAACAGCTGTAGCCCAATCAATATTATAACAGAGAATGCACGGGTGTTTTTACAAGAGAGTTTAGAGAAAATGAATTTAGATCCCCCTCTTCGAGGGTTACAACAGGTATATATACTGAGCTGCAGGGGACAGAACGTCGTACACCCACGTTGAGGCACGTTCTTGGAGGGTGGGAGGTGATGGCCTTCGTCCTCTTGTTGCCTTGTCATCTTGCGAGAGAGATTGTGCCCTTGTCGCGTACTGGCTTGGACAGATTCCTTTAGCATCTCCTTTGATCTTCCAGCGATACTAGTCACTACAATCCAAGTTCCTTTGGATTCTTCCTGCACCCTCCAATCCTCGGAAACTGTACCGGGTAGTTCTTGAGGGTTGAATTAGCTGACTTTGAAGGATGAGTTAGACGATGGAGTAGTTTGACCGGTATACTATCCAAAGTGTACCGGTCAACATTTCGGTCAGTCAAGCTCTTTCCTCCTGACAATTGAGATCTCTCTTTCAATAATGAACGACTTGACCGGTCAGACATTTGGACGTCCCCTCTGACCGGTTCTGGGTGGATTTCACCCATCAGTATCATTATTGAACAAAAATAGCTTTCAGACCATTGAAATTTATTAATCCATTTGCGGCAAAAGATATACATACAAGGTTTAATTTTATGAATTTTAAGAAAATAATTAAAAAACAAATATTTTGTTGATAGAGTTTGTTTAGAAAAGAAAGAATGTTGTAAGTTTTAAGGGATTAAATCCTTCCCTTTTATTGAAAGTGAAATTTGCACTAAATAGGATTAAAACATAGGTCATTTCCCAGCGTAGGACTTAATTTTTTTATTTTCTAAATAGTACCTACTTAATAATGTCTAGTAAGAAGAATAATATCCACTGATGGTGGACATTTACTTGAATAATGACTAATGAATAATGACCAATAATGATCCTACATTGGAAAATAAAAACATATGATCCTATATTGAGAAAGTCATTATGTTTCATTCCTATTTACGTAAATTTCTCTTTATGAAAACATGTGAGAGGTCTTTTTAAGTGAAATTTCGTTGGGGTGGGGGATCATTAAAATTTTCTTTTATAGAATTTTTGTCGTGCTTTTGAAATATATAATTTTTACTTTAAGTTTCTATATTAATTTGTTAATAAAATAAATTTAAAAGAGAAGAATTTTCTTCTTAACAACTTTATTACAATACCTAAAATCAAAATATAAGCTTCATGGAGGAGGCAATGTGTGAAAGAAATGAAAGTAAAAAACACCTTAAATAAGACTAAAACATAGAAAAGTACCAATATAGAATTTTCATGTTCTTATTCATGAAATAAGAATTCACATTGTGGTAATGTGACATTGTACATGTGTACATTACTATACTTTTTGATAATGTATTTGACCATGTTTGATAATGTAAATGTATTTTAACTCCTATTTCAGAAATAAAAACATGAAAATCATATTTTAATATACTTTTAGTGTTTTATTCTTACTTTAATCTTTTTTTTTCGAAATGAAAGTTGCATAGTCTATATATGCCACAATAGAAACACCATGTTGAGGTTGCAACCTTTCAAAGTGTAGACAAAGCATGTGATTTGATACAAAAAAAAGCCGCGCCGGGCCAACCCAAATCTCACATATAGTTTTATTTTTAATGATTCCGTCCGGGCCGCTGTATATTCGTCTGCTCCCAAAATCCCAAATTAATTCTTCATTTCCCCCCATCAAAAACCTATTTTGTGAGATGTAAAAAAAGGATAAGATAATTGTTTTGAAATGCGAAAGAAAATGATAATTCTAATATATTTTTAAATCTGAAACAAAATCTTTTGGAGAAAATAAAAATATAATAACATCATAGTCACAATTATTTGGTGAACAATTAAAACCGTACTACATGCAAACATCGGATCATGCATTACCCGTAATATGTTACTCCGTAGTGTTGAATCATCGTTTATTTTATGTAATTCTAATTACTTAAATTGGACGGGAGTTTTAATAATAAGCATTGTTAACAAGTTGGACAGTACATATATAATACACGTTCGTTCAATAATATTATAAATTCCAGAGTGGGGGTTCAGGGCAACAGCTCTGGAAGCTAGGTCCAAGGGATAAAGACCCTAGCTAGGGACTAGGGTTAGGTCTGTTCAAAAAAAATTATTTTGGATATTATTACTTTATGAAAATCTTAATTTTCTGAATGCAGTCAAATAAGAAAACATTTGAATGCATTAAATCGTACATTTGAATATTTATGATAACCATAAGCACCTTTTGGTAAGGGACACATACATTCAAATGTTACACGATTGGACACAATGCTTCATTCTTAAAATCGTTGAAATTAGACACAATGCTAAACAATTACAAAGAGTAAATTTTATAATTGGTCTTTTATAATATGAGGGTTTTCCTATTTAATTGTCTATTATCAAATATTACTCCGATGGTCCTTCTTTTATGTGTACCTTTCCACAAATAGTTCGTTTTTATCTTCCATCATGTTGGTGTTTATTTGAGGGCTAAAAATATAATTTCACAATAATAATATATTTTTCTTGTTATACACAATCCAAAGGCCGCTCTTAATGTGTCGTTTGTGAATTATAGTCGCTTTCTATTACAACCATAGTCTACAGATGTGATTTTTTTTTATCGGAATCCTAGCCCACAATCATACTCATTATTTTTGGATTATCCGTCTAACCAATATCAGATGGACATACATAAGGTTGATGTCAAATTATACTTTTAACTTGTAAATTAACAATAACATGGCAAAAGATAAAAAGACCATTTATGAAAAGATATTCTTAAAGAAGGACTATAGAGGTAATATTCAATAATAGAAGACTAAATGGAAACCTAATGTTTACGGAAGGATCTAGCTATGTTTCCTATAACGACGATATTGGTCGGGCAAAGGTTGAACAACTGAGGTGTTCAATCTTAGGGAAGAAGAGGGGGAGAAACAAACGACAGAGAAGGAGGAGCTCGAAATAATGACGCCCTTGATATATTAATGAGCTTCAAATGTATGTATTAGGAGACAGACAAAACGAAATCAAGACTAAATACAATTTGTCTTAGTTTTTTAATTATTGCAATTTTTCTTAATTTAATGTTCTTTTTTTATTGAATGAATATTTTTATTTAACAAATTATTGTCGTTTAAATTCAGTTAATTAATAAAATTTTATTAATTTAATTTATAAAATATATACTAAAAAGTTAAAACTAAAAAAAGATTTGAAACCCCAACAATTTGAAGGTACTCCAAATCCGTTTCAAATGAAACTCTGTGATGTTAGTGAGAGGGTTAAACCTGATGTGGAGCGCGACTTCACACCATTTGCAGTGCTCTTACACAGACGGACATTCTTAGCCTGCGCGGCCCAATCTGTCCACCGTTTATGCTCAAATAAAACCGAGATCTGCTCCACTCCGCCTTCTCTCCCTTCCCGTCGGCCGTCACTTCCATCGCTCACCGGTCTTCGGAAGGCGTCGTTCAAGAAGGTGAGTTTGTTATTGTTTGGAATTTTTGTATTTTCAGATATATTAAGAGGACTAATAGGGATATTATGAGGAATTACAACGGAGTTTGAATCTGGCTGCTCTGGTTTGGCTTTTGAATAGGGATAATATGATCTGTTCATGTTTGGCTTATTCTACTCAGTTTTACATATTGTTTTTGCTAGAACTTGAATAAAAATTTGAGATTGAGAAAGTATTGCACTGGAAATCGAACATAGCAATAGAACGGAGATTCGATTCCATTCCATTCTGTACATTTTCAATTAATCAATTACACAGGCCATCATATATACAATTATCAAACCCTAGCCTTATTGGTACCTGTATTTGTTTGTTGTTAAATTCTTATATAGACCTAAGTTCTACATAAAAATATCGTAAATTATTAGAAATTTAGGATATGAATTTGTTTTTTAATTTTTTTCACTTTATTAATTTGCTCATGTGAGAACTCCATGGTGGATCTCAGGGCCTTGATAGATTCCTTCTTCTTTGTTATATTAGTTGGGGAAAAAAGCAAATCCTAGCGGTCTAGAGGAAAGAGGAGGGGGTGAAAAAAATGGCCAGAGCTGGGGGGATAACGAACGCGGTAAATGTGGGAATAGCGGTGCAGGCGGACTGGGAGAACCGCGAATTCATCTCTAACATCTCCCTCAATGTCCGCCGCCTCTTTGACTTCCTCATCCAATTCGGTAAGAATAAATTAACCCTTAGGCCCCGTTTGGTACACAGAATTCAAACTATGAAATTGGAATCGAAGACTTCAATTCCAATTCTGGTGTTTGATAGCACAAAATTTATGTGAATTTGGAATTGATAATGCAAAAAATGACTTGGAATTGGTGAGTTCAATTCTATGGATTTGAATCTCATGGAATTTCAATTCAAATTCAATTCCAATCCCATCAATTCCGTATACCAAACGGACCCTTAGATCACTTCATTTTTTACTGCAGTTTGGGATATTCTATGATGTTTAAAACTCTGTGCAGAGGCGACGACGAAGAGTAAACTGGCCTCTCTCAATGAGAAGCTTGATACCTTGGAGCGCCGGCTAGAGCTGCTCGAAGTTCAAGTCAGCACGGCCACCGCGAACCCTGCTCTCTTCAACACATGATCAAGAATCATATTCCCCCTGATGGGTTTGTACTGTAAGGTTCAGAGTTATTCATTTCTGCCCTCTTATGTATCTATATGTTCATCCTAGGTGAGAATTAGTTAGGTGTTGTAGAAATGAAGTGTTTTTGTTTTCTACTAATAAATTGTCATTGAATCTGTTGTTCTGTTAGAGCCTTTCTGATGAATGCTTGAAGACTTGTTTAAATTTTCGTTTATGATAAGAGGAAACCATTCATGATTCATGGACTCACAGTGCAGGAGTTTCTTCTATGAAAATGAGTAAAACAAAGGATTTCCTTATCCCATTTCTCATTGTTTTTATTCTTATTTTGTGAACTAATTTTACTTATACATTGCATTAGTATACTTTAGAAGCTCATTGTTGCGATGATGGTTTATATTAGGATCACTTCTCTCATGCAAAAGCACTCTGGAAAAGCCTTCAAAGTGAGATCTCATTATTTAGTACTCCTCACATAAAGTTTTAAAACATGGGTCGAGCTAATCTAAGCCTATAAAACCCACCTCAAGAATAAGAAAAAATGTACATTTGAAACTCTTTCGTCTCTTAAGTTTGTACATAGTCTCTATACTTTTGCGTACAAGGAATCATCGCTTGTTGATTGATCAACTTGGGATCGTTGTTCTTGATTGTTGGGAATCAAACCATTATCGCACCGGGATAAGAGAAAGAGATGAATCAAAATAAATAGGTTTAACTTGACTTATTAGTATGAGGCCTTTTGAGAGGTGTCTAAAAACAAATTCGTGAGAACTAAGGCTCATATGAGTAAGATCGAAAGAGTTCATTGTGTTGTACAGAGTCAACAGCTTGACGACAAGACCGGAAGAAACCTGCGCTCTAGTGGAGTGAAGATCTCTGGGTGTCAGTCTTGGGTCAAAAGTTTTTCTGATAAGAAAATGTGGTTGAGCGTCGTGTCCTGCAAGATTGTTATGACGGTGCAAGAGAGCATGAAGATCAGAAATGGATAATCGTTGGAGGGAGGTCACAAGTTGTTGGATACTAGTTTGAGAGAAGGATTGTTGGAGAAGAAAACCCAAAAATATTGGTTTAATCCATTCTAATAGTATGATCCGTTTTAAAGACTTTTAGAGAGGTGCCTAAAAATAAATTTGTGTGGACTTGGCCTAACAATTTCATAGTAATGAGGGTGGGGGTGGCCGGGTGGGCACATACGGTTCCAACATGTGGTCAGTCCGGAGTATGCAATGTGGTGCACTACGTTGTGCGGGATTCTCGGTGGACGGTTTGCTAACATGAACAAGACCGGAGGAGATTTATGGCATAGCGGAGTGGATCAGAGGTTTGCAGTTGGTGCTTTGTATTGAAAATCCTCTCTTCGAATAAGGGGTTGGGTGACGTGCGTGTCTAGCAGGGTTGTTGCGGCGGTACAAGATTGTTGGCGGATCGAAACAGATAATTACTATAGGGAAGGTTACCAAATTGTGTTGTTCTGATTTTAGGAAATGTTTGTTGTGATTTGTGAATCAAATCATTCCTCCATTGGAAGGCCAAAAAGAGATGAACCAAAATAAATATGCTCAATCCATTAGTATGAACCGTTTTAGGAAGTGTCTAAAAATAAATCAGAAAGGTTTGATTTAAAACAGACAATGACATGTTTGATGGATAGGGATGAGGCACATGCAATCTCAACATATATTTAGTAGTTACACAACATGATGTTTCCAGTAGCTTCGTGCTCTTGCACTATTGATAGAAGTGAGATGTCCACAATTGATTTGATTAGAAAAACTTATAATTGATAATAATATAAAATCATATCGTTGATGAAAAACTCGTCATGTCACCTCAATGGGGAACTTAAATGGATAGTAAGTGTTCACAATCGAGCCACCCCAGCTTGTCAATGCTAGATATCATTATTTTACAAAATAACTAGTTCTGAATAAATGTATTGATTTGTTTTTTATAGTGTTTAAGGAAATGAAATTATATACCCAAAAATTTATGAAAGAAAATTAGTATTCCCTTAGTTCAAAAAAAGGCTTTCATGTTTTAATTTTTTAATCATCAAATTGTAACATTCTTTGAACATAAACTAAAATAATTTAAATAAATAAATATTATAAATATTTGATATTTTAAATTCATATTATAAATACTTTACATTACAAACAAATATATATTTTTTTTTACAATTTATGATTCAAGAATATCACAACTTGATTAAAAAAATAACGAGAGAAAAGATTTTTTTTATGGAGGTAGTATAATCTATCCATTTCTTTCTTAAAATACAATATGACATTTATTTTGATCCAAATAAAGAGTTTTTCAAGACATTGAGAAGGGTATTTTGGTCCACAAAAAACAATCTTGTACTCCGCGCGAAATGACGCAGCAGTAGTAGTACGAGTGTCGTCGTCTTTGTCCAAACTTGCTTTATAATTATTGGGGTCTTCAGCTCATCAGAAACCCAAGGCCATACATTTAACGATCAAGCCGCAGCTCGGTAATTTTCCGGCGATCTTCATTTCCTTTCTTGTCCCGGACTAGTAAACTCTCAAATCGATTTCTTTTGTTATCACATCTAGTTGATTTCTTCCTTGTATGCTGCTATGCACTTTTTTTTGGTTTATTTGATCTTTTCAATTTATCAGCTTATTTTGACTGGATTGAATCATAAAAAATGAACGGTGAATTAGTGGTCTATGCCTTTTCAGCATATAGCGTTGATTGCCGCAAGAAAGATTAATGGAATTGGCGGGTATTGTTCTTTAGCTCTGTGTAATTGTTGGATTTTAGGTGGGTTGGGAGAAAAGAATGGAGATGGAGTGGAACTTGGCACAAAACATTGTGATAGGCCTAGACCTTGTGGCTGCAGCCAAGCAGCAACTTGATTTTCTCGGCGCCGTTGATAGGAATCGCTGGCTGTATGAAGGCCCTGCTCTTGATAAGGCCATTAATAGGTATACTTACTGAATTTCTGTCAAGGGGAAATTCTTTTATGGTCTATTTGGATTTTGGAATAAGTACCCAGAATTGGAATTGTGTTTTTTTAGCATAGCTCCTGCTCAACAGTTTGTTCAAGTCTTGGCGTGGTTTATGTAGAATTTTTATCTGGATCCAATGATAGTTTATGATCTAATTGGTCAGGTACTATACATGTTGGCTTCCATTGTTGGCAAAACATTCTGAGTCGCCTTTTTTTGAAGGACCTCTGGTCGTTCCTCTTGATTGTGAATGGGTTTGGCACTGCCACAGGCTCAATCCAGTAGGTTTCTGATATGAATTGATTTCGCTTCCGGGGTTTTGTGTTTTTTTATAAGTTGTGGGATATGACACATCTAAAGGTTCCTTGCCACTTCTTTTGCAGGTTCGGTACAACTCTGACTGCAAGCAATTATATGGAACAATCCTTGACAACCGTCACGTGGTTTCCTCGATCAAAGGAACGCGAAATGGGCAAACTGAAGATGTCTGGAAACAGCTGTACCCAAGTGAACCATATGAGCTGGACTTAGTTAGAGCAATTTCAGGTGAGCAGGAGAAAATGTCTGAGCTCACAAAGTGCAGTGATTATGACTTAGTTTCAGCTGTTAAAAGGCAAAGTCCATTTTTCTACCAGGTAAACTCTCAAGATAGTTTCACTTCCTCAACAGTATGATGAAGTAACCTTGGATATCCATAATGTTGAATTAAACCCAATGTTTTGAAATGTCTCAAACCATGCCATTGTTGCAGGTATCAAGAGCTCACATGAAGAGTGATCAGTATCTTGAAGGGGCCGTGGCAAGATATAAAGGATTCTTGCATTTGATCAGAAGAAACAAAGAAAGATCCATCAGATGCTTCTGTGTTCCAACTTATGACATTGATCTTATATGGCACACTCATCAATTACATCCCATTTCTTACTGCAAAGACCTTTTGGAATCACTTGGAAAGATTTTAGAGCATGATGATACTGATTCGGACAGAACAAAAGGGAATAAATTGGACACAGGGTTTTCTAACACTGCCAAACATTGGGAAGAAACATATGGGTGTAGATATTGGAGAGCAGGGGCAATGTACCGAGGCCATGCACCATTACCTCTGGCAATTAATTATCACTCTCCCGACTATGTAACCAAGAAGGTAGTTATGGCCCATACACACCAGAGATCATTGCATCTGCCTGAAAGAAGGTTTCTTGAGGTAGTTTATTCTTCTACTTTCCCTTTGTTCCCTTTCTCTAGACAAATTGCCCAAGGGTATGTTTGGTTCACGAAAAATGGTAGGAAAGGAATGAATTTGAACTAATATCTTAAATACATTTACTTATTTTAGGTCTGTTTTATCTTTTTCTACTAATTTTCCAATTCATTTTCTTCCATATCTTCATTTACTAGTATTTTCTGAGTTCCAAATTGAATGCATGTTGAATTAAATGAAAACACAAAAATATAAAATCAATGTTCCCTTCAACTCAAGGCTTCTTGTGAGGTGTCGCATATACCTTGTTATACTTGTGGCTTGAAACAATGCTATGAATGCAATTGTAACTTTTTGTTATCTTCTTTAATGTCTTCCAGGTAATGTTGGAGTTTGTAGGCTTAAGAAATGTACCAGAAGACCATAAAGGGAGGTTCTTTGTCTTTTTCAGTAAAGAACAGCCTGATCAAATCTTCAATTCAACGAGGAGTCTTAATATATTCTCTGAGAGCGGGGAAAAGCAGGTCGCTTGCTTTCAATGTCAAGCCAGTGGGAAATTGCTCTTTGAACTTAAGAACCAGTCATGCTCCAATCTACCATTATCAGAACCTGTCAAAACTATGGGTTCTGTTTCTGTCTCTCTGGAGGAGTTATTATCCCCAGCCACAAATCTCTCTATGGAGAAATGGCTTGAATTGGTTCCAAATTCTAAGATGGCATTATCAAAGCCTATTCTTTTAAGAGTTGCAATCTCCGTTACAACGCCATGTAAAGCACCATATGTGCTTCACATGATTCGCTCTCGACCGTTTTTGAAAAGTTCTTGCCTTTTCCCTCTCCCTGGAACGGGTCAAAATTGGACACGCATCATAGGTGAAGATGGTGACGAGATCATCAGCATGCAAATGAGGTACCTATTGATTTGGAACCTTTCGTTTAGCTTGATATTTTTGTTTGAGTATTAGAATATTGACATTATCTACGCATTAGGAATGCAAAGGTAAAAATGTGCCTATTTACTTTAAATTATTGTTTGATACTCTGCCATTCCCTGAACTCACGGACTCACATGGTTTTATTACAGGGATTTCAATAAATCAAAGAGGAAGTCAGATTTGATGTTGGGGCAAGAAGTCATTGCTGTAACTAAATCTGGCGAAATACAAACTGTTGCTGAATTGAAAGGGAGAGAATGGTCACTGATAGATGCGGAGTGGTCATTTTGTAATCACAAAAACAGTGATGATGATCGTCACATTGCTAGGTTGACGGGTCCTCGAATTGTGAGCATTTTCTCTATTTTATTTTTGATGGATTTAAAAAAAAACAAGTGTGTGCTTCTCTACATTATCTTGTAACATATATATAATCAATCTTGGAACAGATAAAGTATTTCCCTGGCCGGAAACTAGAATACCAGCCCAAGCAGCAGCATTGTGGGAAGCAAAGAAGTGAAAATGAATTTATGACTGCTGTAGAGTTCTCGGCTGAAAACCCATATGGCAAGGCAGTATCAATGGTCGACTTGAAATATGGACTTATCAATGTAAAACTTTACTGGGTTTTTTTTGTTCTGGAGTTACGCATTGTAGTTTCTACTTTTAATAACTTCATTTATATTGCATGTTGAGTTTTTGACAAATCATCAGGTGAAAGAAGAGTGGTTACTTCTGCCTGGAATGGTGTGTGCTTTTATACTCTGTGACATTATAAGAAAGGAAGGCTGTGATAGCTTTTCAGCAATTGGCCAAAGTGTGAACGATAAGAGTTCAAGTCGAGGTGGTGGTTCAGGCAATGACATGGAGGCACAGACCCTGGTTGCCAAAGACATTCAAGCAGGAGGAACATCGGGTGGAGGCTGTGGTGGAAGTTGTGGCGGAGGGTGTGGATCACTGTTGAACAGTGCGGCTTGTGGTGGCTGTGGTGGTGGTTGTGGTGGAGGGTGTGGATCTCTGTTGAAAAGTGGGGCTTGTGGTGGCTGTGGTGGAGGTTGTGGAGGCTGTGGTGGTGGTTCTCTACTGAAAAGTGGCGGTTGTGGAGGCTGTGGAGGCGGTTGTGGAGGCTGTGGTGGTGGTTGTGGATCAATGACTATCACTAGGACAACAACATAGAAGCAACCAAGGCTATTCACAAGCCTACTTTCATGTCCTTGTTATCAGACATTATATATCACAGAAAGTTTGTCCAGAACAAAAAAAAAGGTGGGGCATGGGATAAAATTTGGATGCACTATTGCAAGATCCAACATTTGCACATGTATATATAAGAAACAATAAGTTGGAGTTACGTTGTATATATATGCTTGATTAGCCTTTTAATTTTTTTTCTTTATTGTTGTGTGCTATTTGGAAATAATGAATTTGAGTTATATGATGTGTGTTTTGTTTATTGTTGCGCACTGTGTGAAGTTTAAAGAAAGTGAAATAGTGTGGTTGAAATTTATATAGAGAAGAAAAGTAATGTGAACTATTCAATCATTTATTTAAGAAATATGTTCGGACGAAAAGAGTAATAAGTGTAAGGATTTTCCAAATGTAACCTATACTATAATTGACTCTCCCTTTGTCATCTCAAATGTCTCTGGCTTCCTGGGTTTGCCCCTCACATGTGTATTTCTTTCTTGATATATATTCCATCTAGTATTGCTAGAAGTGTTCCCAAAATTACATGTTTTTATTGATAAGATTCACGAGCTCATGTATGCGTGAAGAGAAACTGGGTAGAGAAATGACGAGGACATATTTTGATCACTCTAGTAGAACTCTGATAATGAGATAAAAATGTCATTAATATCACTCATCTACAAGCATAACACAATTGATCAATATCAAATGTTATAAAAGATAGACCCGAGTTTCAATCCTGACAATAGTACTAAGGGGTTATCATGTAAAACTTCTGCAAGTATCGGAAACATTACTTTGTTTCATATGTGCCAAAGTAGATTGACATTATACTTCAATTTAGCTTCTCGGTCTCATGTGACCTTAAAAAATTCTTTTCCTTTTTGGGAAAGGGTTGTTTAGCTTGAAGCACTTTTAGATACACGAGAAAAACTTAACACTCATACTAAAAACATGGCGAGGAAATAAATGCGGTTTTTGTGCTATCGCTTGGGGTTTTTGCACCATCTCCATTCCCTTATCCTCAGCTCATCACATGCATTATGCATTGTTTGGGTGGACAAATCTATATTGCGTTTGAAAAGCAAAAGAAAAATAATGACTTACTCAAGTAGTTGAATTATTTAATCATATTTAGAAATAAATTATTATTATTATTACTCCGTATTAAATAAATGGTTATTTTAAGATGAAGAAGAATACTTATATTTCTTGTCTTTTTTTCACGAGACCAAGAGAATTATTTTGAGTTGTTTCAACGAAAAAAGGGACAAAAGCAAGAATAGAGATAAACCAGATTAGATTAGAAATGACTTTAACTAGAATAAGATAAAATCAAACTTTAATAAATTCATATCGAACCAATAGGATTAGACGAAGGGAACTGCACTGCCCCATAGAATTCAAGCTCTTCCAAACAAACACAAGCTAGCTAAAATGAACTGTAAAATGAAGAGCTCTTTCTACAATTGGAGAATGTTACAAGTAACTTATAGTAAGAGATTACTCAAAAGTTAAAAGTGTTGTGTCCAAAATGCTATAAATACCTGCCGGGCATTGCTCATTCATCCCAAACTCCGTAGCAATACATATTTCCGGTGATTCTTCTTCGTTCTCTTCCCTTCTTGGAGCTTGCCGGTGACCCTAACTTCTTCTTCTTTGTTTTGCTTCTGGTGTTCTTTTCAGCCCATCACCATGCTTACTTTTAGTTGAACAAAATTACATTTTCAAAGCTAATAATTTTTTTTAAAAAAAGTAATAATTTTCATCATGGATCATGTTCAGATAAAGTTCAGCATTTTTCTGCTGTTTTAAGATTACTACCATTTTGTCTTAATGTAAAACAAACTTATGGGGCAGTAATGGAGATGGAGCAAGAATTGGAGTGGAATGAGGCACAGAGAATTGTGATAAGTGTAGACCTTGTCACTGCTGCCCAACAACAGATTGATTTTCTTGCTGAAGTTGACAGGAACCGCTGGCTCTATGAAGGCCCTGCCCTTCATAAGGCCATCAATAGGTATATATACATACATACATATGATTCTCATCAAATGACTTGAAATTCTCGTAACCCCCTTTTTTGCCCCTTTCCTGGGGCTTTTTGGTCAAAAATTTTTTAGGTACTATAGATGTTGGCTTCCATTGCTGGCAGAACATTGTGTGACACCATTCTTTGAGGGGCCTCTGGTTGTCCCTCTTGACTGTGAGTGGGTGTGGCACTGTCACAGGCTCAACCCTGTATGTGTTACTTCTTTCTATGGTCTAAAATTTATCTCATTTTGGTTTCAGATTTCTTTTTGTTGAATGCCGCTTATTTTTTTTGCAGGTTCGGTACAGCTCTGACTGCAAGAGGCTGTATGGAACAGTTCTTGACAGCCATGATGTCGCATCTTCGACGAAAGGAACTTGTAAATGGGAAACTGAACAAGTCTGGAAGAAATTGTACCCAAGCGAGCCATATGAAATGGACTTCGCGAGAGCTCTTTCTGTTGATGAGGCCTCAACAATGTCTGATCAGCAGCACATCAAGTGGGGCTGCAATTATGACTTGGTTTCAGCTGTTAAAAGGCAAACTCCATTTTTCTACCAGGTACTTGGGGTTCATTTATTTGGGTTGAACCACACTAAAAGACCAAATCCAATTGATCAACACATATATTAACATGTGTCTTTGGTAAAGGTATCGAGACCTCACATGAGGAGCAAGCTGTACCTTGAAGGGGCTGTGGCTAGATACAAAGCCTTCTTGCATTTAATCAGAAGAAACAAAGAGAGATCCATAAAATGCTTCTGTGTTCCAACTTATGACATTGATCTTATTTGGCATGCCCATCAATTACATCCCAATGCTTACTGCAAAGACCTTGTGAAACTAGTTGGCCTCATTTTGGGGCACGATGATACGGATTCGGACAGAACAAAAGGGAATAAGCTAGACACTGGGTTCTCTAACACCACCAAGCTCTGGGAAGGAACATATGGTCGGAGATATTGGAGGGCAGGTGCGATGTACCGAGGCAATCCACCGTTATCTCTTCCCATCTTTCACAATGATGGCTTTCCCTCTAACCATGTCAAAAAGAATGTGGATTTGACCCTCCATAAGCATCTGAAGTTAATGAATCTCCCTGAAACAAAGGTTCTTGAGGTAGTTTATTCTTCTCTTATTCCCTTCGTTCCCTCCCCCTTTGATGGAAGTCAGTGTGTCTGTGTTTGAGCAAGTGTATCTTGGAAACAACTTTTCTACTTTCAAGTAGGGTAAGGTTTGCATACACTCATGGCACACCCTCCCTAGACCCTATGGGGTTTTGCTGGATTTATTGTTGTTGTCCCTCCCCCTTTGATGGAAATATAACATTTTTTTCTTAAATATCAAGCAGGTGATGTTGGAGTTCACAGGGTTAAGAAATGTCCCAGTGCAGCATAGAGGGAGGAATCTCTTTGTATCATTTGGAAAAGAACAGCCCGATAGAATCTTTGGTGCGAAGAGAAGGCTTGGCATTTCATCAGAGTGTGGGGAAAAATGGGTTGCTTCATTTCAATGCGAAGCTAATGGGAATCTGTTCTTTGAACTCATGGATCATTTCAAAACTATGGGTTCTGTTTCTGCCTCTTTGGAAGAACTGATATCCCCAGCCTCTGGTCTCTCTATGGAGAAATGGCTCGAACTGGTTCCAGATCCCGAGTTGGCAATTTCCATGCCCATCTCTTTAAGAGTTGCAATCTCAGTAACAATGCCAACAACCGCACCATATGTGCTTCGCATGATTCGTTCTCCACCAGTTTCAAAGAAGTCTGGCCTTTTCCCTCTCCCTGGGGCAGATAAAAAATGGACAAGAATCATAGATGAACATGGTGATGAGATCATCAGCCTGCAAATGAGGTACACTTGTCTGTGGATTTTCTAGCTAATCATGAATGCCCTTCAATTTGAGCCCCCATCTACCCATTTACCTGTTCGGTTGAATCATTAAGCACAAAACCTTATATCAATGTCATAATATGTTAAGTAAATTGATATAACCACATCGAACAAATTTAAAAATACATACCATCATATTAAGCATTGATGTTTCTGGTAGACATCCAAATGACCCTGTAGTGCATCCAACATGCAAATTTGTTTGATGTTCTGTTTCCATGCTTCTCACAATAAGGCTTTACTTATTACAGGGATTCCAATGAATCGAAGGGAAACCCAGATTCTATGCTAAGGCAAGAAGTTGTTGCTGTAACAAAATCTGGTGAAACATGTACTCTTGCTGAATTCCAAGGGACAGAATGGTCACTGATAGATGCAGAGTGGTCAGTTTGTTATCACAAACAGGGCGACGGTCACGAGGATGGTCACCTCTTGAAGCTTTTTGGGCCGCGAATTGTGAGCATTTGCCTGTTTTATTTGAATTCTCTTTAAGAAAAAAAATATAGTATGGCTCTTTACACAATCTTCAAACGTGTATGTTCATTCAATCTTGAAACAGATTAAGTATTTCTCTGGCCGGAAGCTGGAATACCAGCCCAAAGAGCATTTTCAGAAGCAAAGATGTGAAGATGAATTTATGACTGCTATAGAGTTCTCGGCTGAAGCCCCATATGGCAAGGCGGTGGCCATGGTCGACTTGAAATTTGGAGTTATCAATGTTTGTTCAATTTCACTTTTTTATATATTCTAGAGTTGAGTATGTAGTTCAATTAGCTTCACTAATGGTGTTTGTTTAATATTTTGCAAAATCAGGTGAAAGAGAAGTGGTTACTTCTGCCAGGAACTTTAACTGCTTTTATACTTGGTGACATTTTGAGAAAGGAAGGTTATGGTAGTCTTTCCATAAGCAGAGAAAGTTGGAAGGTCAAGTGCTCAAACCAGGGTGGCACTAAAACCAACCCCAAGCTGACTGGGGACAATGAAATGGAGACTCAGACACAGATTCATATAGGAAGCGACTTGAAAAGCAGCGGCTGTGGAGGTGGTGGTTGTGGCAGTGGTGGTTGTGGCGGGGGCGGTTGTGGAAGCTGTGGTAATGGAGGTGGGAGCTGTGGTGGTTGTGGTGCAGGTGACATGAAATCTGGGGGCTGCGGCGGTGGTGGTTGTGGTGGCCACTGCGGTGGTGGTGGTGGTTGTGGTGGTTGTGGTGCTGGTGACTTGAGATCTGGGGGCTGCGGCGGTGGTGGTTGTGGTGGCCACTGCGGCGGTGGTGGCCACTGCAGTGGAGGTGCTAGTGATAAGCTGGTGGTTGCAATGGATTCGTCTTGAAACGCGAGTCCAAAAAGACAATACATTGCAGGGGTGATTGCAGGGAAATAATAAAGCTTAATCCATAACAGCTCTGTATAAAAATAATGAAGCCTCTTCTCTTCATTGTCATTGTAACTATGTATCACAAGAATAAAACTTAAATCTAATGAACTCAATTTGGGGTTTCCCTTTATCTGTTTTCTTTCTCCATCTAGCTCTATAATGGAATGTTGGGTACCCACACAGTCATTTCAATCCCAATCCTCTTTAATTATGTAAAGCTCACTCCTTTTCTTTCTTTTCAACGATTTGATTTTTACAGGATATAATATGGAAAAATCATGGAGTAATCATCACTCAAACAATGTATTATTATATGCACAAACAACCATTTAAGTCTTGAAATCAATCAACAAAGAATAGAAATCAAGAATTCAAGAAACTCAAATCCCCCTCCCGAACAAAACTCAATAAGGCATAAATAATAAACCAATAGTATAATACTCACTGCTAGTATTTACCCTCACTGTACTTTCATGGAGGAAAAGGAAAGGAAAAAAAAGTAAGAGGTTAACACCCCAAAATAGAAAAGTAGAAAGGGACCTTAGGCCAGAGTTTGATCGATCACACCCACGGCAGGATTCAGCATTTCGCAGCCGGAGGCGGTGGAAACTAGCGGCTGCGGCGGCGGCTTGTGCTCCGGAACAGGGACAGAGGGCACCGCCTGGACAAAACTGTAAATTGGGTGTTGCAGGTTTTGATCGCCCCCTCCGGCTATCACACTGAACTGTCCAAGGTTGCCTGGGTGATACCCACCGGGCAATACGGGTAACCCGTATACCATTTTCAACCCATTGGCATAACCACCTGCCCCGCCGGTGACGTGGCTTTCAGGCAACCCTTGCAGGTGCGGTGGAAGATGGTGATGGCTCTGCAGGATCACCAACTTGTTGTTGTTGGCAACCGATCCGTAATTCCCGGGTGGCAGGCCATTTTCAACTTGCTGTTTAGGGCAGGGGTTTTCGGGCAGGGGCATTCCGGGGATATGCAATTGGAGAAGGTCGTGGGTGGTCGGCGCGATGCTGGGCTGGTAATCCTTGTCGAACCCGAAGAGGAANGGAAGAGCCTCAGGCGGGCCGGCTTGGCGGAAACCCTAAGCATGCGGTCGTACTCGACCATCATGTGCTCCACATCGTCGTCGTCGATCAGGGAGACCAGAGCGTCGAGATCCTCGCCGGGCAACTGATACTTTATAGAGAGCTCCCCGTTGTCGCCGCAGTTGCAGAGAGAGCTAAGCTTCGAGAAAATCTCGGGAAATCTGATTCTCCGATCGACGGTGAGGATCTTGGTGTCGCCGCCGACGTAGGCAAGCTGATTGTCCCGCTGCCGCTGATGAATCTTCCCTCCGTAACTGCACATCAGCTTCACTTTACACTTGGAGGCTTCGCCATCGCCGCCGCCGCCGCCGGAAGAGGAAGAATTGATGCTCTTCTGGCTCTCCATCGGCGACCCTAACAGAGGCAGTTTTGCAAGGAAGCCCAATTCACTTCGATGTCGCAATCCATTTCGGTTTGATTTTCTTGGTTTTAAAATCCGCCTTTTCCACGACTCTCACTCTCCGGCGGCTAATTCTAAAGTGGTATAGGGAGCACCGTAACTAACGTAGTGCCCCCTAATCTATTGAATTTGGAATTAAAAATCTGGAAAAAAACTTTTTTTAACATAAATTAAAGTTACATGGAGAGGTGTTCATGTGACATAGAATCTCAATGTCATGAGATGATCTAGACTTCAATTGGGGTCCCTATGGATGTTTGTTCGAAAAAGGACGGTTCATACACTATCTAATCCCCGGTATATATATTTATGTTTAATTTTTCGTTTTTTCTTTTCTTGTTTGTAGAATTTTTTATTTCGTTTTTAAATATGTATGTCTTGTTTTTATTTTTATACCAATTTCTAAATAGAATAAATTTAAAAATTATAGGATTTCATACATCGTTTGAATAGGAAATACTCCGTATCATTTTGGAAGGAAATATTTTTTTTGTGTTTTAAATTTTTTAAGTCCCAAAATTTTTTGTTTCTATTTAATTTTGAAATTGGGTATCATAAAAAATACGGAGTATTTCTTAAATAAATTAGAACAAAAAAAGTTTAGAAAAAATAGAGACTGATGAATATCAAATTAGCAAAACATAGAAAATTTTTGAATGAGATTATTTTGAAACACAACATCAACAAAAAAAAGTCTAATAATTGATGATTGTGTCAAGCAATTCATATAAACAAGAGAAAAAGACTAAAATACAAGTAAAACATTGGAAATATACTAAAATAAGAGTTCTATGTATTTATACTCAAAATAAGAGTTAGAATGCATTTACATTATCAATCATGATCATGTACATTATCAAAAAGTATAGTAAAATGCTCATGTACAATGCTACATTACCACAATGTGAACTCCTATTTAAGGAGTAAAAACATAGAATTCATATTTTGTATTTTCCTCTATGTATTTTCCTCAATGAAATGGCAATAATGAAAATAATTAATGTTATGTATTACTCCGTATTTAATTTGTTCCCCTAGTAGAAATTTTTTATGCCACGTTTTATCGAGATGATATATTCATTACGGTGCTAGGGTGTTTCTTGTTTTATTATTATATGTTTATGTTATTAATACGGAGTATCATACTTTTTTGAAAACCAAATCAAATTTCATTAAATTCTGAAAGGGAACAAAATTCGGTGGGAAAGAATTCCAATAAAAATGACTTAAAAAATACTCCGTATGAATAAAAATGCATGATATATTGATAGTTCGTGGACATTTTAAAGTTCTCAAGACTTAATTGGAGATAGGGATTAACACTATGTTTGGTTCAAAGAAATTAAAAAAGGAAAAAAGAAAAGAAAATAAGGAAAATATATTTCTTGTTTAATTAAAGAGGAAAAAGAAAAGAAGGTGAAAGAAAAATAAGTGTCAGAAGAAATGAACTTGAGAAAAAAACAGATTTGCTTCATTTTGATGAAGAAGAGGAGAAAAAATTACTTTCCCTCCTTTCTTTATCCAATTCAACGAATCAAACATAGTATTAGTGTTTACACGATTTGAGAATATTACAACCAGAACCTTAATATCTTTAACATCACAGAAAGCAATACTAAGACCAAACTTTATATACACAAAATGGGGGGCATATATAGGATCAACTTGTCCTACGAATGAATCATTCTTTACATTAAGCTCATGAATTACCTGAAAAATCATTCTTTACTATCTGGATGGCTCTACTGAGCAAAAGGTGGAATTCACAAAAACAAAAAAATGGAATTTAAAAAAAAAAAGTGGTTTGACATAGAGAGTAATACATGTTTTTCAGAATTCTATCTCAGTTAGACAGTTAAAGAACAATTAGCAACACAAGAATCGTTCAAAAGAAAGACATCATACCCTTTGGAATTCAGTCGTCGTCACCATTGCAGCCACAATCATCACCAATATCTTCTTCTTCTTCTTCTTCCCTGCCACAGAAGATGTTTTGGAACGGATTCGTTTGTGAATTCTGGAATTGTTTGATGGCATCCCTTGCGTCAAAGATGAGAGCATTCTTAGCAGCTTGGACTGCTGCTGTTTTGTTCACCCTTTGATGTTCTTCTTTCTTGGTTTGGTTCAGCTTTAATGTCCTTAAATAAGCTGCCTTTCTCTTAGCATCCCTGCAATGCAGCTGATCAATGTATCTGTCGTGCAAAGCTTTGTTCTTAATCGGCTTTAGAACCGGAGGACTAAAGAGATTGGCCCCCTTCAAGTTGCTTTGCTGAGAAAAGTTACTGAGATGCCCTAACTTCAGCTCAGGGGTCACCAAGTTAGCACCACCATTTGGAAGATCCTGTGTTGTTGTTGTTGTTGTTGTTGACTCCTCAAGTAAGCTAAAGAGATCTATTCCTTTACTATCTCTCTTTACCATGTACTGCTTATTCAATATCTCTCTCACTGCTTTTTGTGAAACATGTCTCTTTGGTTTTGCATCTGCAGGTTGAAGCAATTTGCTTGCACTGGGAGGAGACATAAGTGACGATACGGTCTTTTTTGTCCTTACACGTGGTCGGGGTTGAGGTGGTGTCGCGTGATCTAAATGTATCCTGTCAAAGCATTCTTGGGATGACTTCCCAGGCACCTGTTAAACAAATTTTGCATGTTTCTTTGGAGTTGAGAGTTGGATATAACTAGTAAAGACACAGAAGAATTGCAAAAACATACTTGCATTTTATTTGTCAAACGTTTTCACCCTTAGGTTCTGTTTGGACAGATGATTTTGGAGGGGAGATCCTTGGAAAGATTAATGCCTTAGTCTAATACTTGATATATGGACTGTGTGTGTATTCAATATATTATGTAAAAAATTGAAGATTAACACAATATATGACCATATAACATCTCAACCATTATGTTCATTGTCAATGAAGCTAAAAGTGTCGGCTTTTTACAATGTTTTTGTTTTTGAGTAAATAAAGGATTAAATTAAAATGTCACATTAGGCTTCCCTCGCTTTATTGCTTTCTATGAAGTTTTGGGTAGCAAGTGCAAAAAGGCATCAAGGGTCTGAAAGAAAGTCTACAGAGTACTAATCACAATATATACTAATCTGTCAAGCCCCGCTCCAAAACCCTCCATCCTAACATACCCTCACTGATCATCATTCATCTTCAAAGTTACTACTCCCCCAGTCCCCCTCCTCACACAAAAGTCATGCGTGCAATGCGTATTATTTGTAGCAATACAATACAATATGACTTTTTTTGGTGCAAATCTTGGCAGTGCAAACCTTCACAATAATCATAACCTGAGAGATATGCAGCATGAACTTATAAACCAGATATGCCATCCCTAATGATTGTTTATCTATATTATAATGTTTTATAAGTGGGTTTCAACGCTCCATAGCAATTTGTCAGTAAAACCCATATACTCCATACGACGATAGTGAGAGAATGAATTTCGTGATAAGGCAACATGGTCATCCACTCTTCCCAAATATCAAAACTAGAAGGGAATGGGGAGAAAGAAAAAAGAAGAGGGGGGCATGGGTATGAGAAAATTACCATCTTTGCCACTTTCTTCCAGAAATGAGGAGTTGCCTTAGCAGCAAAATAGGCTCTTTCCAATGCCAGTTCTTGCTCCTTGGTCCACCCTTTAGCAATAACATGCCCATCTTTTCCATGTGATTTCTTCCTCTTCACCCCTCTCTTTTTTTCTTCCAAATCGACATTTCCCCCCCGATTATCTCCTCCCTCAGTTGCCACTTCTAAGGAGGATTTAGCAGGTTGGGATTGACAGGAACTCCTGGTGACCCTTTTCTCAACATTATCAATAGAACATCTCTGAATATTACCATTACCTGCAAGCTTCTGTGATTGTCTGAGGGGAGTGACACTCCCAACTTGATAGGATTTTGAAGATCTCCTAGACCCAGTGCTCGAATTCGAAGAAATTAGGGAAATATTACTCTTTGAAGCTTCTGTTAAACATTTCAATCTTGAAGATCTTCTACACCCTGTGCTCGAATTTGAGGAGTGTATCGAGACATCAGTATTTGACTCTCCCGTCAAACATTTCAATCTTGAAGATCTTCTACACCCTGTGCTAGAATTTGAGGAGAGTATCGAGACATCAGTACTTGACACTCCCGTTAAACATTTCAATCTTGAAGATCTTCTACACCCTGTGCTTGAATTCGAGGAAAGTATCGAGACATCAGTCTTTGAAACTTCTGTTAAACATTTCAATCTTGAAGACCTTCGAGACCCTAGGCTCGAATTGGAAGAAATTATCGAGGCATTAGTCTTTGAAACTTCTGTTCCGCACGTCAATCTTGAAGATTTTCGGAGACCAGTACTCGAATTCGAGCCTGCACACTTTTCCTTTGCCTTTCTTGAAACTTCTTTCTGCTGCTTGTTCGAAGGCTTTGGGCGATGCGAGCTGAGGGGAGAAAATTGGGGGTTTGTGGCTCGATTTGCCCTCGGTTCGATATCAGGAGTCTTTGGGTCTTCTGAGTTTTGTTGAATCTTGGGGTGCAAGCGGGGAGACTTTCTGAGAAGCACAGTTTGGTGCTCTTTATCAATGGAAGTTCTTTGACGCATTTCCACAAACAGGTTAGCGGTCCTCAATTTGAAAGCATTGTGAATTTAGGATGGGAGTGGAAGAAGAAGACTCGAGCCAGTGAGAGGGAAGCCCACGGATTCAAACCGTAAAATAATGTAAATCCCAAAAATAAATTTGGGCCACCGGTTCATAGATCGCATTATTTGTGGGCCGACCTTTCAAATTTTAGAGAAGCCCGTTGGAGGAAAACTGTTCCCGATAATATCAAACCCAACCAAAGATTTATTTTTTTAAATCACGAACCAATATCGAATGGGATAAGACCATTATATGAAGTATAAAAATTTAAAGTCGATTATCATAGACTGATTGTTTGAAGATAACTATGGAGTATCCGAATCAAGTACAGTGTATTTATTTGTATAATTTATCTCTACATCTACGGATTACGGAATACTCTACGTTGTAATGTCAGTTTTAAATATTCTTTCACCATCTTCACTATTTTTATTAGTACTACTATTACTTTTACTATAATTATGTAACTATGTTAAATAGTCGATTCCAAGCTATGATAAAAGATGAGGGTTGTGTATGCTAGATATCAATAACTGATGTAAAACTTTGTCAAATCTCCATGATATGACATAGATCAGATACTATTATTTTTATTACTTTGTATTATTATTATTATTGTCATTAGTATTCATTCTGTTAAAAAATTAACTTTCTACTTGGGTGATCAAGCATATCAAGTGTTAGCGGGTATTTGTAATTTTGGACTGTAATTAGTTTATCGGGCCCACTTGTAACCCTAAGCCCGCTTGTACTTGTATATATACACTTGCTTGTAATTAGTAAAATCAGATCAGTTTTACTCTAAATTTTACATGGTATCAGAGCCAAAACCCTAGGCTTGTGTGCGTTTCTGCTCTCAGGCGGTGTGCAACGCCGTGTTCCTTGTGTTCTTTTTTTGCCGAACAGTCTCCTCCTCTTCAACGGAAGATCTGTTCAAGTTGCAGGTTTTCTGCCTTTTAATTGTTCCTTTTTGTGTGGTGTTGCTAATCTACATCATACAATTTGATATTGTGCGCTGCCTATTTGACATTGGGTGTTGCTGCCAGATTTTTTTTTCTTTTCTCTTTTGGTTTTAATCGGTCTTCGATTGAGCACCGCTGCAGTGTAGTGCTGATCGGCTGAGGAGGTATTCTGTTTTCTTGATTTGCTGAATTTGGGCCCGTGCCTTTTAAGGGGGAGTATCGCAATCGGGCTGCTCTTTTGTATTTGTTACTACCCTGTGTTTTCTCTGTTGATTCTGCACATCTACTTCTGAAAAATTATACGGAATGTCTCGTCCTGTGCCTTGTGAGTGGCTTGTGGACAGTGGCGCATCTCATCATATGACAGGAGTGCTTTCGTGTTTGACTGATGTAGTGCAGCGGCCTCCTTGTACTATAAGCTTGCCCGATGGGGCTCATGTGATGGCCAACTCGTGTGGACAAGTGCAAGTCTCTCCGACTTTGGTTTTAACTGATGTTCTTTATGTGCCTAATTTAAAGTGCAACTTGATCTCTGTGAATTGTCTTGTCAACTCTCATAACTGTCATGTTTTCTTTGATGACCAATTTTGTGTGATACAGGACCGAACTTCGAAGACGCAGATTGGACGATGTGAAGTGCGCAATGGAGTTTATGTCCTTCCATCCTTCGCCCAAGCGTCCAAAGCCGAGT